GAGGACGCAGAGGCCCAACCCCAGAAGAAACCGCAAAAGCGTGTTCCAGTTGAATTGGAACATCTTGCCGGTCGGTGGTTTACGCCGGATGAGCTAATCAACGTTCTGCAAATATCAGGCGTCAACCTGTTCCCCAGGGATGACTCATCTACTCGCGTAGAATGTCTTGAAAAGGTAGGACATTGCTGTGTTGCATATGTTTAGCGGGTAAATTGACCAGTAACGCAATTTCATGCTAAAATTAATTTTTTTGGGCCAAATTTAAATGTCTCACTGGTAATTCATTCGATTCTTATCAACACGTTCTGTAGAAGGAAGAGAGAGAAAATAATACTTTATTTTGAGGCTAATATCCAAAATTTTCAGCAAAAAATGGCTACATTCACGGAAAGCAAGCGATAAGGTTAGGAAAAACGTCATCAAATACTCATAGTTAAAGATTTGCATGATATGCACATTTGTTATGAAGACAGGTCGGCTTTCAACTTCTCAATTTCTGTTTCTTCACACGTGGGGTAACGTGCTAGGAATGGGAGCATAGGGTGCTGATATGCCGATGTGCGGCAAAATATATGATGAAAGCTTAGATGCATAGTACGAGAGGACTTCGCAGCCATTAGTTCAGAGTGGACAGGGTTAGCGACCTCACTAAGGATGCGATCAGCAAATCGCCTAACCCTTTTAAATTGTCGCTGTATTATAATATCAGCTAAAAAACGTAGGAAATACCGGCAGATAAAGAGTATTCTGAGGATTTGTTTAAAAATGACCAGGTCTTTTTCGAGTAAATCTGGTAAAATAACTGGAGAGCAGTAAAGAATGAGGAGGAGAATGCAGGCATCTATAAAGCGTCAGGTAAGGGCTTGCGGTGTTCGATATGAACGCAAACGGTGGATATAATATAACAGTTTACGGATTTTAAGAAAAAAAGCCATCAATATGAAGTGTAAATGAGAGGTAAGATGCCAAAGTAACACCAGGGTATCGGAAAGAGGATTCCCAATTGGGCAGAATGTCAATGAATTCAGGACTCGGAGTTTTAAGTGTTTTGGCGCAGTTCAATCTGAATGTTTTCTAATAATTAACAGACATCGACTTAAGAAAGCCCTAATAAGACCAAAGTTGAATTTTTTGACAAAGGGAAGAGCTCAAGTTAATCGCCCTATATGTTCGCACCTTGCGAAAACGCCATCCTCTCTGTTTTTCTAGACTCTAATTGGTTTTGCCTATGAGTGGTCGAATTTCCCAAATTTTGACACGGCTGCAGAACTCACTTGCCTATTTTTCGATGCAATTTGCTTAGTCAAGGAGCTCTTCACGTTGCAAGACAGAAACAGTGAACTCACAAACATCTAGGACATATGGCGGTCATTCTCTTCGAACGCATGACGTGGAGAGCCTAGGCAACGATATATCGCCGATCTCTCCTACCTTGCTGCGTGATTGACGGGTTTTTTATCCAGGGAGTTTCTACTGAATGACACCGCATAAGAAAGACTTCTGGCAGACCTGAGGAAATATGGAAAGTGCATTCGTGCACGACGTGCTGCCTTCGAAGTGGACATCTGCTGATCGTTTACACGGCCATGTTCGCACCCCTAAATTAGTTTTTTACACAAACGTCTTAGTTCAGTTTATCTTGCAACTTAGTGGAGTAGCAAAGTCACCGTCTGGAATTAATGGTAGACGCTTCTGGTTATTTTCATCAGATCAGTTGACGATGGAGGGCGAATTCGTTTGTAGTATCGAGCATTTTGCACTACCAAACACAGGATTGTTTACACCAGTCCTCAGTTGCTCGTCTTAAGGCCAGTTCCACAAGCGCCGTGGTTGTGGTTTGGAGAGGCGACAGTAGGTCATTGAGTATCCATCGTAAGGTGAGCGCAAATAACTCTAAGCAATGTTCCCGCGTAGACTGGGAGAGGGAAGGCCTCTCGCTGGACTAAAACCCGGCAAAAGGCCTAATTTCGGGCCAATTCTTCGAAACTCCGTACATCTACAAAACTCAAACTGTCACGATTCAGGCTTTGCAAAAATTCACGAGCCAAAACTAGTTAATTTTCGTAAAATATGGCTTAGCTTGCGCATATACATGAGGGAGGGGGGGGTTTATGTGGTGAAGTTCTGTTTACTTGGCACTATTTGACAAGGGTAAGGTAGTTTATTTATTGTCACTTTCTTCGTCCTGTCTGTGACAGCCCGCATGTGTAAGCGCGTTTTAGAATATCTGTGCCGACCTTACAAGAATTTATCATACTGAAAGGCCCAAGATACCTTAAATCCTATTTAGTTATGCTCGGGGTATTTCATCCAACCTGATTCAGAACAAATGCACAATCCAGAAATTCTGACAAAGATATGGCTAGAGCTGAAGCCTTAAATGAGCAGAAGGTACTTGAAAAATTTTCTGCGGCAGTACTATCTACGAACTGACGGGGAATTGCCACATCTTTTGCCATCGCTTGTTCCAAAATGCTAGACATCACGCGTACCAATCGCTCACAACCAGGAAACTGGTTTTATGACCTTCTTGCCTATTTGGAATAGCTCTACCTCAATTTCTCGTAACCCTGGAGAGACGAGCAATGAGAGGCACGGCTGCGTTCAATCTAGAGACGCTGTTTCACGAGATTTAGGGTACATGAGCTCTTGGTACTGCCACTATCAGAGGAAAAGGATACGCTGACCTGACTGTCTGAAGGCAACCCTACACTGCATTGGCTCATGTCCCAGAACACCATCTTATTCCGGGTTGTAAAACAGATTCCAATAGATTTTCATTTACCAGAAGAGCATATTACGATGCGCAAATGTAGGTAGATCGAACCCCATACGTGTAACCAGGGGTGGTTCTTTGTGAAAAGGGAAAAGCTCAGAAACTATAAAGGTTATTAAACCCAGTCGCAGTGCTCAACTTCTCCCCCCTCCCCTCCCCCAATATGTATTGGAACGTGCGTATTCTCGACTTCGTAGGACCGTCTTTAGAGGTCCTATTTGTCTTTGTATCATTATAATAAACTACTTTTTCATTTTCAGTAGCCCGAATTTCCCTTTTTTCGTCCTATTCCGCCAATATAAGGTCGAACTTCCATCAATAGGCATCAGTTGCCCGAGCAACATTAGTTTATGTTGGTGGAGTTGATTATACTTAGCTCATTAAAAAATTATAAGTGGCTTTAAGTTAATAGTATTTGATCTCTTTCAACACAATTAAATATTGGTTAATGAGTGTAAATATTCATTTAGACTCATTAACCAAGAATTAAATGTTTAATCAGACAGTTGGGTAGGAGGAAGAGATATTTAGGCGGCCCTACAAGATAGTTTTGCCCTCGGTTTTTCCCGGTAAGTGCGGTATTCTTCGTCAGGTCTAAGAGCTTCTGATTGGGAGGTTAATTACACTCCCCTTTATTGTACTGCAGAACCCTCTAACGGAGCAATGGCTGTATGAGCAGATGGCCCTCTTGAGCCCTGCCATGTCATTTTCTTGGTCTCGATGGAATGCTGATTGTCAGGACCCCAAAAACATCATCGTTTGTGCGACAGAACACCTTGATGAAGAAGGGCCCGTGGACGAGGTAAGCATACGCTCTTGCACAAATTCCGTGAGAGGACCTGTTTTCAGTGTGTGCCTCACCAGCAATATATCCAACGTGCTAAAAGTTTTGACTTGGAAGGCTGTCAATTGATGGAATACCTTAGAGCAACTGAAGGCCTGAAATTCAAGCTACGGTTACTCTTTCCCTCAATAGGACTATTATGACATTCTCGCTGATATGAGATCGCAATCTCCTTGACGAAGCCCGATGCATGCAGTGGTCACGTGAGGTACGCGTAGATTAATGGTATTTCGTTATCAGTCATTTTGCCCAATCCAATCACCAACTAGTTGGCGGGCTCGGACAGTTGAACGATGTGACCAGTGTGCCACGGCGTAAAGGAGGGGCGAGTGCGGTGGATTCTACGCAAGTCTACCCAAATATAAAGTAATTCATCCAAAAGTCAACGGTGCACGTGGATGCCGTCATTCGCGACTGGCAAACTGTGATCCACCGTATGAAATTTCCGAATTACAAAGCAGGACCGTCTTCGTAACTCTTACGGACTGTTGAACTATGTTAAACCTAGATTTAATAAGAAATACGCCGTACATAGCGACTTAAATCCATTGGGGATCCCTGGCGTCGTCCTGGCTAGCTTAGTGAACATGCACGCTTACTGGTAGCATTAAAAGCAAACGGTAAGTTACGCATCTCTAACCTTGTACAAATTTTGATTTCCTAACTTACAGGCGACGATTGGAGTATTTTCTGTTAATCGGCATAAGGTCGTCAAATTGCGCATGAAGGAATATGCAGAAAACTTTGATCCTGCGCCCGACCCAAAATATCAGGTGAGATCGGTTTAATGTTGTCAACATGTATACGCAAGATGCGCACAGTAACGACTTCCGAGTTCAGGTTGGAGAGTGCATATATTTTGACATTTTGGATGCAATATTAATACACCGAGAGGCGTTTTAGTGAAGACAGAAATGGCAATAGCTATTCATGGCCTGTCCGTTGTCATTAAATAATCGCATCCTCAACTCCAGATGGAGTGGACCCGAGATTTTCTTGCCAGGGTGTCCAAGACTGACTAATCGGCATAGCCATGAAGAGGCCCGCTACCACGAAAACTATAATAGCGGCGTCAAGATCTGAAATGAACGTTATGGGATCCGACGCCGAGAAGTGACCCGGAGGCTGCTTCGACGCTCGGTTGAAAGGCATCGTCCAAGGGCCGGCACCAGCATGTTAACAGCATCTTAAACATTTCGAAAACACACTTTCTGCCACCCAACTATGGGCCAAATTATGCAGCTTACTAATTAGAACCCTCAAAAAACATCCCAGAAAGGTTGCACTTAGTTTTCTGTGGTCACAGCAGCGGCCATACTGATTTCCACAGCATCCTCCAAGTGAGCAGTCTATGTGACCGACCGAAACGCTTCACTACAAATGTAACGGGTGTGGTAATGTTAGCTGATGTTAAGCGCTTTCCGTGGAATACTACAGTGTAAATCGTTGGCTTTTAACTTGATTTCAGCCACCTCAACGGTTGGCGTGAAGCATTAACAGCCCACGACTGAAATACGACAACAACGGTGACGCTATCTGTCTTTGTGGGTCACGCCCTCTCAAAAACATGTAGTTTGGACCATGATCAAGCCTTTAAATGATTAGAACCTGAACCAGCCTCCTAAAACAGTGTCGGAGCCCGCTGGATAGAGAATAATTAGATACCGAATTCACACGAAACTGGCTAATCATGTCAGAGGCTCTACAGGGCTCCTGAATCAAGGCCTGGAGCCTATCTAGCAAGCGCCTGTAAGGATATGCCAAGGGTTTTAGATTGGCAGTCCGAAAAGTTGTCGGATGAGATTAAAACGATTCTAAATCAGTCTCCCCCCCCTAGAGCTACTACAGTTACTCGGTTGCCGCATCTATACCCGTGAAAAGTCTCTCAAAACACAACCAGGCCATTGTTCGAGACTACCTTACGTCCTCCACAAAGAAAATGAAAACTTGGGAACGACTCCATTTCTTGTAATTTTAGTTTTGTTGAAAGTTGCATCCTAACAACCCTAACAAGAATATTCTGTTTCTTTTCAGTTCCATGCAGACTTCTTTCATATGTACATGGAGATTGGATCGGAAACGGGAAAGCAGAGGGTGCGCCAGATCGACAGTCGTCACTTTAAGACTGTGCATCGAATATTAAAAGCAACCCGTCTTGCAGTTTTTTCATAAACAATTTCGAGTTTATTGACTAGGTTTTTGACTAAAACAGTTCTCTTCCTAATACAAGATAAAACTACAGGCACAGCTTCTTGATTTTCTCTAATATTTCGTTTTTGGATGCATTGTCCACTCGCACCGCCGCCTCTTTTCCGAATTCTGAAAATAATTAGAAAGGGCTGTTGATTCAACTAACCATAACGGGCGTAGATGCTTGGTGTGACAGAATTGCCCTCACGAACCATAAATTTCACATCGGGGTTGGCTTTTCTTAGTCCGGAGTAGCCTGATAAGATAAATTCCCTAAAAATGAAAGTGAAGTAAGTAGGTCACTTTAAAGTGAAATTGATGGTGGTTCTAAAACTTGTAAAGGCACGGTAGCGCGATTACTTAAAGCACATTAGTATGGCAGACAACTATACAGACCACAAGGGGGGAGGGGGCATTTCCTGTGGTGTGAGAAATCATATAAAACTAAACATTCACCGGGAGAATTAATGCGCTTTCGTCTTCAGGCCCTGCCACGGGTACCAGGAGTGGCACTATCAAACTAGCGAGTTGATCTTTCTCTTACTGTGATTGCAGCCTATATTTGTATAACCTCAAGCTGAGTGTTGGGTTGTAAACAAGTTAGAATGCCTGAATACGGCTGGTATAATAAAGGCATGCCGGAATGAAATGCGCATAGTCATGTAAAAACAAACTTATAGTTCTTAACTGCGGAACCACCAAAAAGAAGGGGTTTCTTCGTCGGTTAAGGACGTCACAACTGTATCTTTGAAGTCTTTATCGAACGAAAGTAAACCCAAAAGAGCGTGGGTTGCAGCACCATAGCGAGAAATATTCGTAATTCGGGAGTTGTTTCGATTATTGTCGAGACAATTAGTCGATTTAGAACGCATATTTAG